TCAAAAAAGGTCACACTACAATTCAAGGAGCTTGTAATGCTACTAATTGAAAGCTAGTTTATGGGAAGTTGAGGGACATGCAATACACAATTCAGGTTAAGGCCATGGGGAAGGGATATGGATCCTTGGCCTGCAATGGAAGAAAAAGAACCATCTGCAAGTCTCACTCTATCCCTTCCTGACAAAAGGCTATAAGATTGGAATAAGTTAGGCTTACCGGTCATGTGGTTGGAGGCCCCTGAGTCAATGATCCAAGGGGAATCTGTGGGAGTAACATGGAATGCAGAAGCCATATTACCTGAAGTGGATGCAAATGAAGTGGAGGGAGTACCAGTGATTGAGTTGTCCATTTGCCGCAAGGCCCTACCATAAGATTCCAGGTGCTCTCTGAATGAATTCATTATATCCTCCTTGGGGTCAAATTTATTAGGATGGTCCTACTATCGGCAACTTGAGTGTCTTGGGTTGCCACATGTGCTGTGCTCATTTTCTTCAAATGGCCTTTACCCTGTTCTTGATTCTTTGCTGCCCACTTGGGTTTCCCGGGGATGTCCCAACAAGTGTCACGTGTATGTCGAGAATGCCTACAGTGGGTACAAAATAGCTTATCTTTATCATCCGCCTTCTTAGGGTCACTTTCCTTTCCTGTTGAGCTATTATTCATTGCAGCCAAGGCAACTTGTTGCTCCCCCTCAGCTGTAACCATCACATTCCGCCTGCTTTCTTCAAATTGGACAAGGGAGTATACCTCGTGAATCGTAGGCAACTCTTTGCTTCCTAGGATCTGCACCCTCAACAGTTCATATGCAGGGTTCATTCCCAACAGGAAATAGAGTTCACAAAAGCTGCCGCCAGAAACTGCTAGGGTTTCCCAAAAAACTGCCGCCAAACATTGCTAGGTTTTCTACAAAAACAACCGCCAGAAATTGCTAGGGTTTCTGCAGAAATAGCCGCTAGACACCTGCTAGGGTTTCTGCAGAAACAACCACGTCCAAACACTTTTAAGAATTGAGCAGGAGGGATCGTAGGTCTTTTTCAACCCAGAGAACCTGCTCTAATACCATGTGGTGATTCGTGGGGATTGTGAGAGAGAGAGAAAGAGAGAGGTACGGTTGAGAGAGAAAAGCATCTACTGGCAGCTGCCAATTTTCTATTTATATTAACTTCATAAAAGAATCTAAAATTACAAGTATGCCCCTGGCGGCATATCCTAGAATCAAATAATAAGAGAAAAGAAAGAAGAAAAAACAAGTAACTATAACTGTAACTGTAACTGTAACTGTAACAACAACTATTAAGTAAGCCTTACAACATTCACCTAGCAGTCCTATTTCATCTAGCAGATCAAGAACATATTTTCTTTGGCACAGGTTTACACCTTGTTTTGATCTAGCAACTTCTATATCCAAGAAATACTTCAATGTCCCAAGGTCTTTTGTTTGAAAATGGTTTTGYAGAAAGACCTTTAGTTTATCGATCCCCAATTTGTCACTACCAGTTATGACAATATCATCCACATAGACCACTAGTAAAATCTTTCCGGATTCTAAATCATAGCTGAACATCGAGTGGTCAACCTGGCATTGTTTCATTCATAAATTCTTCACCACTTCACGAAACTTCCCAGACCAAGCATGAGGCGATTGTTTCAACCCATAAATTGCCTTTTTCAATCTGCACACCTTACCATCTTCCCCCTGAGCAACAAACCCAGGTGGTTGCTCCATATATACCTCCTCCATAAGGTTACCATGAAGGAAGACATTTTTAATGTCAAGTTGAAACAAGGGCCAATCATACATAACTGCTAGGGAAATTAAGACACGAACAGAGCCAATCTTAGCCACTTGAGAGAAGGTCTCCATATTGTCCACCCCATACAAGTGTGAATAACCTTTAGCAACAAGTCTGGCCTTCAGACGCTCCACACTACCATCCGGCAAGTATTTAACAGTATACGCCCATTTACAACCCACAACATGCTTATCGGGAGGAAGAGTAGTGAGCTCCCACATTTGAGTATGCTGAAGGGCAGAGAGTTCCTCCTCCATTGTCTGTCGCCACCCAGGTGAGCTAAGAGCCTCTTGGACATTCTTAGGTATAGAAATAGATAACAATAGTGAAACAAACTGGCGATGTGAAGCAGAAAGACGAGAGACTGAAACAAAATTGGAAATGGGATGGAGGGTACAACTACATTTACCTTTCCGTAAAGCAATGGGAAGATCAAGTCCTGAAGGTTTTGGGACAGGAGCAACAACAGGATCCGCAGACAAGGTAGAAGCTGGAGGAGGAGCTGGTGTCTGTCGATGAGTATACACGTGCCGGATCGGTGGTCGTTCAGTAGGGATCTGCACTGGAGGAGGTGAAGGGTCAACTCCAACTGGAACAACTGGAACGGGATCACTGACTGGAAGAGGAAGAGGAAGCAAAGGTGGAGACATTGATGCTTCAGTTGATGGTTTATCTTCTTTCACGTGTTTCACTTTCCTCTTTGCCTTGAGGAAAACTTCCACTGACTTGGCCCATGGCACATAATTCTCACCATTAAGTTTAATGGAGGTCATCTGCACACCCAAATAGTCGGAGGGGATCATCACACTCGGTTTCTGATCACTGGAACCATCTCCCGTCGCTGCCATTATGTCCCTCACTGCTATCTCTAATGCTGAACTCTCAGTCACCAACCAACTACTGCTGTCAAGGCAACACTACAGCACACTGATAACAATCTCACAACTAGTCACAATCAATAACTTGATGTAGACTAACATTAAGGTTAAGAACTGGATGTTTTGACCAGATTCGGCTACCATCCAGATTAGAACATTGATGAAAGTTACTAGGCTGAGGTATTCGGTCACTTCTTTCAGCACAAATTTTTTCTGTTCACACCACTACTGACATCCCACAAATATTAGGCACCATTACAACAACACAACACTCGAGCAACTACACACAAAAAAATTTCTGTTCACACCACTACTGACAACCCAGAAATAGTAGTCACCATGACAGCAATGCAACAACTCGAGCAACCACACACAAACCCTCTTGAAATTGTTCAGTAGAGGGTAAATACCACAAGCACCACCACACGACTAGGACTGTCACACATGGTGACAGCAGTATTAGGCTGATATCCTAGGGTTGCCGCACCTTCCTAATACATGTAATAGGGATTGCGGCAGTCCTAAAACAAAAAATAAATAACAGATGCCGCAGCTATCAGATTGTGTACCTCAGATTCGCAGCCCAGAGAAGAAGAAAAAAAGAAGAGAGAGAACTTGAAGTCGCAGGAAGGAAATCTTGAAGTCGCAGCCTTCTTCTCCTTCGTTTATGGCTCTGATACCATGTTTTGACAGCTCTGTTTAAGTAGTTCGAACCAGTAGAGTAAGAGAGAAAGAAGAAGAAGAAGAAGGAAGAAGAACAGTCGAATCTGATAGCATAAACCCTATCAGTTGACCCTAATATGGATTAACCTCTAATTAGTTGTACAAAGACTAAACTGCCCCCCACGACAGGAAGTCTATTAAAACTGCCACATAAGCACATAACTTAACAGAAATAGAATGACTAATCTACCCTTATTGGGCTAGCTCTAACACATACCTTTTCATGGTTTCCATATCTTAAGCAATTTGAGAGAATGCATTTGTAAATTGTATTTTCAATTTCTTAAGATCCTCATAACAAGTGTTCTTTCTTGGTATCTTGAATGCTAGTTTCTTCAATTATACCAATTGGCCTTAGGCAAACCACTGACATTATTTTCTTCTGCTAATTCAAATTGGTTCATATTTAAGAGCGTTACACTAGGGGATGAAGAGGCCAGCAGGAGGGGTGTACAGAAAACTGTACTAGAGAGGAAAGGACCCTCAACCTTTACTTCCGGTGTGGAGATTATATCGAAGGCTGAGTTACGAGTTCATCGTAATTTAGAAGCAACAGTGGATGCTATCCTTTCAGGTCTCTCTCTCTCTCTCTCCCTCCCCCTCCCTTCTTATCCCTCTGGCTATCTATTGATCAATCCATCCTTTTTTTGTTTTATTTATTCTCTGTCAAAGTAACAGTGATATGTCCTTGGGCATCTTCTTATTGTTTGCTATTTTGGTATTGTAACAAAGGTCGATCACCAAATTATGAAGTTCGTAGAATAAGCTCAGAGGGAGTGGGACATGATGTTCTGACTGAAGTGATGGAACCTTTAACTGATATTTCTGTTCAAGAGCAAAATGAATCTGTGGTTGATGACATTCCAGAAATTAATGACAAAATGGATGGCCATAATGAGTTCACCAATGAGCCTCCTACAGTATTGGTAGAAAATCCTCACAATGATGAGGCACCTCTTTTCCTATATGTTTATGGGGTAAGATATTATCACATTTGCAACTTTGCAAATATATACATCTGTGTGTGTAGCCCTTTACTATTATAAACTTGTGCACATTTCCTTTATTTTACCTGGTTTTTTCTTTGAAGATGAGGGCTCAGGGAGGCTTAAGCTTTACATCTTAGAGCCTTGCCTTCTAAAACACTGGTTTAATATATACCTCACAAGGAAAAAGGTTTAGTAGATGGTCAAACTGATCAGTTTTCTTGATGACATGGCCATTTGAGATTTTACCTGATAGGGAGTATCAATTATCATTTCAGCTCGAAATCTATTTAAGTACCATTAAATTGTTTCGTGCTAAGCATATTTGAATCAAATAATGGTTTCAACTTTCAGTTTAAAATGTTAGTGTCTGCCAGTTGTCACATTCAGTTGCTAATGTTTAACAAAAAAAGCTGCCAGTTTGGGACTTATAGGATGGGCAGTTATTTTAGATCCTGGAGACAAGCGTGATACAAGCGGTTAAACAGCTGAGAGTCGATGGTGAAGTCGAATTAACTGATAATATCAGTGAAGCAGATGCACTACTTGCCTTGCAGTCTAAGCTGAAGAAGAATTCCCGAATTCAAGCTGTTGCTAAATCTCATGAAATTCCCATTTATGTGACCAAGGTAATTCAGCAGTCATGTTGTCAATCTGAATAGTCCCCAGATGATGAACCTTCTTTTCTTTCCTTGCAGACAAGCTCGTTACTGCAGATAGTGAAGGCTATACGAGCATTTACAAGGGAATATGCAGAGAGAGCAAAGGATTCCAAATCTGAAAAAAGAATGAGTTCATTAGAGAAGATTGATGCTTTAGAGGTATCACTGGATCCCCCCTCCTTTTTATATTGCATTGCTTGGCAGGCACCTAAGAAATTCCTAATTTGATCACCATGGGAGAATGAATGTTTTGTGTCTATTAAAATGGTTACCTGCTAAGGTTTGGAACCAAAAGCAGAAGCAACTAGCTCCACTATTTCGTTTTTCATTTTTTTCCTTTCCTTTATTATCATTATCATCATCTCATCATCTCATCATCATTTCTCCACCTCTCCTCTCTCTTGGGCAAGCTGACCAGCTTTTTTCTTTCACCCTGCAGTCTGCAATTCTTCTCTTTTTGTATTTGCACGGAGACAATGATCATAAATGCAAAAGGCTCTTTAATTTCGGGGAGACCATCAGTGCTGGTTTTCTAGTCTCCTTTACCTAGTGTTGCATGGACATGGACGTTGATACATGTCTATGAAAAAAGTATATACTATTTAAAATAATTCATATATTTTGAATTCCAATATTATGTACATACAAAAATATTGCCTTTATTAAGTGATGTTTGATACAAAAAATGGATTCATCTTGTAGATTGGTTGTTCATTCATGTCAAATAAGCTAGGAGACAAAAATGAAAATGTTATATAGAGTAGGAGTGACTTCAATAATCCGTGGAGTTTTGGACTCAGTTGCCTGCCCCACATGATGCATCAGTCCATTTAGTCCATGACTCCATGCAACGTTGTCTTTACCACATGAAACCAAACCACCTAGGGAGGATGAGAACTTCAAGTCTCAGGTAGTGTGATAATGATATCTGTTTCATTAATGGCCAAGTTATTCTCTTTAGAAAAGAGGCATGATTGTATAACAAGTATGAATCCATGTTGTAGCTATTTGAAAAATGTCTGACACTTAGGGTCTATATATATACATATCCACCACACAAGGCAGTTTTATACCTGGACCTTGTTTAGATAGGCAAAGTACAATTCTGCAACTAGCATTGTGAAGAACTCTATTGATGTTGTGTTCCATTTGACAGGAGGTGAGATTGGCCATTGAGCAAGTTGTGATTCCAAAAGGAGAGCCTGTTGAGCTACTTCCAAGGTCATCCCACATCATGTCTTTACAGATGGATCTCATTCAAAAATACCAGCTACAATCACAGAAAGTAGGGGAGGAGCCTAATTTACGGCTCCGTATCCTTCCTTTTCAGACGAAGATGGATGTGGTTAGACATGGTGAAATGGATGAAACAGGTGATTGGTTTGATGATTTTGGTGGTACAGATGGTGAAATGAATGGTTCATCCTACAATGTGGACAGATTACCACTTCTGCCTGAATAAGCTGTCCTGAAAAGGGTGTACTCCAATTATTACTATTTTTTTTTATGACTAAATATTCTTGGAACAGCCTAGCATGAAGGTGGATGAATTTTGTGCAAATTGTAAATTTTACAAATTTGTACAGAATGAAGTGATGATGCAAGAAGCAAGCATGCAAGTCGTAAGATTCTAAAAGTGTTTCTTGACAACTACATATTTAACCATTATTATAGTTGAGTTTAACCTCCAGTGCCTGGTTTCTCGGATGCCATTAGCAGTCCTCGTCGAAGTTTGTATCAGTCTAGGTAGTCTGGCAACAAACCATGAATCTGACGACAGTGTCTGGGCAGGGTCATCGTCAGCTCTGGTCTTTTGTATCTCCATTAAAGGAATACTTGTTCCACAACTCGCAATAGCCAGGAGCTTTTCAATTGGAAAGAGGAAAAGCATTAAGCAGAGACATTTATCCTTTCGCGTAGAGGTTTCTATAGTTTTAAGGGCTGACAGCTGCTGTGATGTTGTAACTTGTAACACTGGTACTAACATAATAACATATCTGACTGGTACTAACATAGTAACATGTCTGTTTCCATTGTGATGGACTATGGTATGGACTGTTTTTTTGGTAATAAGAGGGCTTATTTATTCCAAGGACAAGCCAAAGAGAAGATGCATCATACATCATGGGGAATAGTCTGCCTCATAAGAGGATTCAGCAAAAGGCCTAAGCCAAGGATGAGCAGCATCAGATGTACACGAGGGGGAAGCGTGAGACCCATAGCTGTAGCAACAGCATGAACCGATGGATTTTAGCGCCTGCTAACAAGGAGGAAGGAAACTCGTTCGAGGTCCCACTTAGGGGGTGTTCTTTTTTTGGATTTTGAGAGGGGAAAAGTTGATCAATTGGATTTTGGTTTCCATTGACCAAGAATCCCATGTTTTTTTTTTCAGATTTATGTTGGTACCAGGGGAAGTTTATTTTCTTGGGTATCACTTACCCGGGTAAGTGATACCCATCTCCCAGGTGGACAAATAACTTTCCCACCTAGGGGGAAGTTGCCAATACTTGAATGAGACAAAAATGTCCTTTTTAATAATGTATTTTTATGGTAAAATGGTCATTGTTTTATTTACATGAAAAATACAAGAACATGGGTAAATGCACTTACTCGGATAAGTGTTTCCAGGAAAAGCTTACCCAGATAACTACATTTACCCGAGTAACTAACTTATCGAAAAGCGAACAGGGCCTTAAGAGAAACAATATCATCTTTAAGGCTTTTACTTGCATGTAAGTAACAAAATAGCTAAGCACGACACTAGGTACACAACTGCATGTCTGCATTAATGTCATGATCCAAGAGGGTTGAATGTAGCATAATCTTATCTTGCAAAAAAGTAGGAAATGAAATAGTTAAATGTTTCCACAGACACATTTTCGGTTTTCAGATAACAAAAATCTGGGTGGTTTCAAATGCTAAAATCAAAACCCGATACGATTGATTCCATTTCAAGGCTACTCTTGATCAAAAGTGTTCACTTTCTGAACCCCATCCCATTATTCCCATCTACAAGAGTTTATCCATCAAGTGATTTAGGGTGCGAATGAAAGGAGTCATTAGAATCAGTAGCTTGTCTTGAAGGATTTAATATCTTGATTAAGATGGAGGAATCATGCATATTTTGAGTAAGCAACATCATTTTGGCTCCCAAAGCTAGTTTGGAAGTGGAGAGTGAAGGCCCCAGCTAAGAAGCAGAATGCTGTCTGTGATGTTAAGTAATCTAGAAATGGTATCAGGATCCTAAGCAATAGATAAGAAGATGACTGCCAAAAGCTTAGAGAAAATTCTCTACCAAATAAGCTGAGCTGAAAGGTTTCCCACACAATATCCCAACAAATCTTGACATTCAACCAGAGAAAAGTTGGAGAGATTTGAAACTTTCATATTGGCCTTTTTCCTAGGGTAGACAGGCTGCCGACTTCTTTTGTTGCGCAGTTGGTAAATAATGCATTAAATTATTTTGGCAATTATTGTTTGCAAGTCCTTGTCGAGCTTGATTTCATCATTGTCGTCAAATTGATGTTCTCAGTACTCTCAGTTGCATTGGTAGGACCAGTTCTTAGAATTACTTGGATTTTCCTTTTTCAATGAACCTTGCTATATATCAGGTTTTCTGATTCATCCTATCTAATCTTAAAGAAATCCAGCAGATGAAGAAATGTCTTATTGATCAGTAGGGGTGGATTCGAGCCAAGCCAAGCCGAATAGTACGAGGCTCGAGTTTGGCTCGCAAAGGTTGTACAAGGCTCAGTTCAAGCTAGAACATTGAGGTCGAGCTCAGCTCAAGTCAAAAACTCATAAGCTCGATCTTGATTTGAGAAAAAATATTTTATAAAAATAAAAAAATATATATAAAAAATATTTTTTATTTGATATTTAAAAAGTTGAGAATTATAATATTTTTATTATATATATATTATTTTTTATAATTTTATTATATATATATATATTTGAGATCAACTCATTTCTTAATTGAACCAATAAATTGGATTCGAACTCGACTCGAAACTCAGTTGAAATCGAACCAAGCCGAATTTTTCACGAACCAAACTTTTCACGAGCCTACAAATTGGCCACCCCTATTGATCAGTAGAATGTGAGCTTCACAGAGCTCAAAGCCTGACGTTTTGCCATTTCCATAGAAAGGCCGGAAAATGATGATCAAGGCACACTGCATTACTTTCTAGTGGACTTCGAAACCATGTGGGAGCATATTTTGGGTTTCTAAAATTGTGACAAGAAAACAAAGAGAAGAAACTAAGGGAAGTAGATTATAAAGAGACAAACTCGATTTGCAAGTGAAAATTAAATATGAACAATGCTTCCTCTGTTATAAGTCTTAAGAGTAAAAAATAAAAACAACTTTTTATATAAAAGTTTCTTGCCTGGAATCCACCACATTTTTCTCCTCATTTTCTCTCCATTACTAGTATATTCCTGTAGAAGCTTTTGTTTTTAGTTTTTTTGTTCTCTCTTTATAACCAGTTTAATCCAGTACTGCTGTATAGACTTGCTGGCCCATGACTGAAACAAATATACAATGTGAAAGGCAGGCGTTGACTCAATAATGTACCATGAAAAGACACAAATATGAGACTGCCAGACTGGCCTTTTTGGCTGAATAATGGAGAAGCTTTGCCAAGATAATCCGATTTTCAGTGGTCCACCATTTTATTCATGCATGCCCTTTCCCCACTAACGAATCCGCTATCATAGGCACTAACCATAACCTATAGTTAATTAATTAATAGAGTCAAACCCCATTTGGGTTTTCATCCTTACTATTAATTAAGCCAATACCGACAGGTTCAGCTGGAATGCTTGGATTTTGGACAGGACGTGGCGATGGATCAAAAAGTAAGAGGCCCTTTGGAAGGAAGAGGGAGTGTCACCGACTCACCATACTGTGGTCACCGCAGAAATTTGCTTTCTATTGCTGCCATCAACTTGTTATAGAAGTTGCCTTTTGTCAAGTCAACTTCTTGGCTGCGGCGACGGTGCCAAACAAGAAAAAAAATAAAAAGAAAAGTGCCAAGCTGACAGCTTCTGAAGAAGACGCTGAAAAGGTCTTCAATAATGATGCCTTTGACGTGTGCAAGTCGGTTAATTAACACTTAAACAGTTTACTTAGAGAATAAATTAGTATTGTAAAAGCAAACGAAATTGTTTTCTGAATAATTAATTAGATTCGAATTTGGATATGACTTAGTTCGATTTGATAAATATTCGTATTCAATCGATTATTTAATTTTTATATATAATATATACAATTTTTAAATGTTTTATGTAATTTATATATATGATAATTACGTTGTATAAATAATTTATATATTTATATAAATAAAATATTTATTTTATATATTTATTAATTACCTAAAATAATTAATTAGTCGAATTCGAACAGAATATTTAAATATTTAATCAGATTCAAATTTGAATATTAATTTTTAATATCCATCGAATATCGAATTAAATTCGGATATCAAATTTTTTAATCAGATTTGAATTTGGATATTACCTGATCAAATTCGGATTCCATCCATTTACACCTCTAACTTTGTGTCTAATTAATGATCTGGGAATGATGAATTTCACAGCAGGCCCTTCTGTGGATGTAGACATAAAAGTCTGTCGAACCACGTGAATCTTGTGTTTCCTTGCTATACATATTCTCCCATGTTTTTTTGGTCTCCGTCACAACAATTTTCATTGATAATTAGTATTAGTCCAATACCCTTTTGCATACTTTACTTTTTAGGCTCGGTTTGGAAGGAATACATACTTTTGCATATATGTATTTCTACTCCTTCCAAACTAAGCCTAAAGGGAAAATTATATTAAAGCAACTGGAATAGAAGATTTTACATAGCATAGTTGATACAAAGTATTAGAGAGTTCAGCAGGAATAGCTTCTGCACTATCCCATTGTCCTACAAAATTACAACTGTTACTGATCAAGAAGTGAGCTGCATTGTTCCCTGTTTGAAGTATATGATGCCAATTGCCAATGAATCAAAAAAGTTGAGTCCAGCTCTGAATGGATGTCTACAAGCACTTTAGGGATCTCCAAAGCAAAAAAGAGGATAGAGAGCCAGAGAGAGACTTTACCACCTCCAAGCTATCCGGTGGGACACAGAAAGACCTCAAATTCAACCGTTTTGCCAATTCCTAACAGCTAGCAAAACAGCATAATATTCCGCTAACAACACTGACGTGGACAGATCTCTCATGGCCAAATTAAGCTGCCACCAAAACCCCTGTGGGAATCCATACAAACTGCAAACCAAAACATCGCACCGTGCACCGTGCACCAAATTGTTTCTAAGCCGATAAATAAGCCAAGAAATTGTGAGAAACTGGTTGATCAAAGATTTGCAATAAGTTCTATCATTAATCTTGCAAAGTAGATAGGATGGCAATCCAGTCCCAGAGAGTTCTCCCCATATCTGTTCTAATACTCAACCAGAGCCAAACCAAACTGATTTTCAATAAGAACATTCTGACAGAATATGGGAAATAGTTTCCTCTCCTGTCTTACAAACAAGACAGATTGGATCATCAATATCTTTTTGCATGCTAAAAGATAAGAAGACTGAGAGTGTTTTTATGAAGAATAAACTCTCACTGATAAGCTTAAAAACAACATTATCAGATGGTTTAGTTAGAGATGTATCATTTTGGGTTAGCACTCAAATATGTGACACCCACACATTGTCATACCATAGGATTGCTTGTGACAGAGAGTGAAGGTGAAATTTAGGCATAAGAGATTGGATCCACATAATTTCATCACAGGTATAAACAAGGCTGCAAAACTCAGACAGCTTTGTTGGATCGAGCAATTTACTTTGCTTCCGGGAGGACCAAGAAAAACGC